GAGGCCACATCTGGAATGTTGTGTCCAGTTCTGGGCCCCTCAGTTCCAGAAGGACAGGGAACTGCTGGGAAGAGCCCAGGGCAGAGGCACAGAGATGCTGGAGGGAGGGGAACATCTCCCTGCTGAGGAAAGGCTGAGGGAGCTGGGTCTGTTGGGCTTGGAGAAGAGGAGACTGAGGGGCCACCTCATCCATGGGCACAAATCTGTTCAGGGCAGTGTCAGGAGGACAGAGCCAGGCTTTGTGCAGTGATGTCCAGTGACAGGGCCAGGGGCAGTGGGTGCAAACTGGAGCCCCAGAGGTTCCATGTGAATCTCAGGAAGAACTTCTTTGCTGTGAGAGTGCCAGAGCCCTGGGCCAGGCTGCCCAGAGAGGCTGTGGAGTCTCCTTCTCTGGAGACATTCCAACCCCCCTGGCCACGTTCCTGTGTGATGTGCTCTGGGTGCCCCTGCTCTGCTAGGAGAGTTTGGCTAGGGGAGCTTTCCAGGTCCCTTCCAACCCCTGGGATTCTGGGATTCTATATCCAAAAGCTGCAGTCTGGATCTGTTGCAGGTCACCTCCAAACACAGCTGAGCAGGGCAGACCAGGTGTTTCCCAGAGCACCCTTAGTCCCAAGGGATGCATAAGAGCTTTTCAGACCCTCCTGGCCATCATCTCTGCTCCTTGGAAAAGCCTTATGACCTGGAAGTGTTCAGGGTCAGGTTGGATGGAGCTCCAAGCAACTTGGTCTAGTGGGAGGTGTCCCTGCCCATGCAGGGGGTTGGATCTAGCCATCCTATGATCCTGTGATGATGACATTGGACCCTGGCTCTCCTTGCTGCATCTCAAGGGGGATTTGTTAAAGATGCCAGGGCTGCTGGGCCCTGGTGATGGCACCAGATGCCTCCTGCGCTCTTGCTCCTGGGGAAGGCAGATGGGCAGTGTCACTGTGTCCTATTTCTGCTGCTTGGCAGGCAGCTGGAGCTCCTTGTATTGCTTCTGCGTGGAAGGGACTCTCCACAAGCCTCTTCTCCCC